GTCCCGTACTATATATATCTCCTATATTTTTTATTCATTTATATAATAGTAAAGCTGGATAAATAACCTTACAATTGTGCACCCCGTGCATCGCACGGGCTCTGTACTAGTTTAATAAAATAATAATTGCCTAAAATATTTGTATCATTCATAATAGCCGTCATATTTCACCAGAATAATTTTTTACATTAATTACATAGATTTTTTTTTTTTTAATTTGAATTTTAAATGATTCACCGTCACTTTTAATATTTTAAACAGTTATTTATAAAAGTAAAATAATTTTTTTGGACGGGAGTTTAGTTAAAAATCGGATTTATCATAAAATCAAAATATTGATTTAAGTTACTGCCATATTATTGTATTTTTTGTTATGATTAAGACAACTATATAATAATAAAAATTAAACAGTAAAAATTAGGTCCTACTAGAGTGAAATATAGCAATTTTAATCCTTTACTTTAATATTTTGATGCAATTTCAATCTTTTGACTGTTATAATTGAAATTGCAACAAAGTTTTAAATTACAGTACATAAATTTGCTAATCAAAATCCACGCAAAATACGTAAATTAGGAATGTTAGACGGCCAAAGAGCTGAAATCGCAACAAAATTTTAAATTACATAACTTAAAAGAGTAATTTATATATTTATTAATAAAAAAATAATAAATGGACAAAACATAAAAAAAAAAGGGGGGGAGTGGACCAAAATCAAAAACACGTATTCACTAAATACGTTTTACAAATAAAAACATTGAAAAACGTATTTTGTAAATACGTACTTTTGATTCTTGTCCACCTCCCCTTTTCTGTTTTGTTTTTAATTTGTCCAGCACTTGTTTTTTTTTATTTTTTCACGTAAAAAATTCTAACTTAAAATGCTATTGTATGTCACTTCAATAGGATTTAAAATACAATTTAGCCCATTCAAAACCACTATAGTACGAATTTTCACATTGTACGTACGCCCTGCCAGCGGCGGACGCAAGATTTTTTTTTTTTTTTCAGCCAGGGCAATATAAAATGAATTATTTTTTTATTTCACTTCAGTTAAAAAAAATTGCGCACACTGCACAGCAAATTACGGAGAGGTTCGCTCGATCGACCTAGGCGAAATTTACAGTAAAGGAAAAAACAAACATAATATAATACATACAAACAAAATTCTGAGTTTAAAAGAAAAAAAAATGATATGAATATTTGAACATATAAAATACTTACATTAGAATTAAAGCGGAGAAATCTCGATCAAACCATTCAAGCAACAATCCCGTCCCGACTTCCAGTCAGCCGTCCTTGAGATAGAATTTTTTCTAGATCATATGTATTCATTCACGAAGAAAGGACGAATTAAAGATGGAAGATGAAAGTTGGGTGGTTTTCTGCCGCGTATTTTGAAATTAAAGACCTTAATAAATTTGGGGATCTTCTATCTTCAATTCTTCCGCACACGGGAATTAAAGTCCAAAAAAATTTGGGAATCTTCTATTTTCAACACACTTGAGAATCCGTGAAGGTTCTAAGTTATTATTATTATTATTATTATTATTATTATTATTATTATTATTATTATTATTATTATTATTATTATTATTATTATTTTGCCTTTTAATTTTCTTGTGTGCCGTGCGTGTGTAGGGATTGAGAGAAATATTGGATATTTTTTACCTTTTAACCCAAACGACATCGTTTGGCTTCAATTTTTTTAATTCATTAAACAACAAGAATGACGTCGTTTATAGGCTAATTAAAAATAAAAAATCCCTTGCCGAAGTCAACTTCTTCCCAGCGTACAGATTTAGTTTTTGCCATATTTTTTCACCCAAAGTTTCTATTAAAAATGTAATAGCCTATCTTTAGAAGTAAAAATTCAGCCTGCGCAGTTGCCCAGGCTCGCCTATATCCAAATCCGCCCCTTGCGTCCTGCCTCGCAGAAACACAAATGATTCGAAACTGACCAGGTGTCTTAGTCTGATTATTATCTAATACCGAACTGTAACGTTTGCAAATATTAGTTGCAAAACTAACAATCATGTAAAAAAAAAATAAAAAAAAAAATAATAAAAATCATCAAAAACTATACAATGTTATTTACCAGAGATTGTATATTATTTACCAAACACACAGTAAAATTAACCATATGAACTAATAAAATGTGCAAAATATGTGTGTAGTAGATTAAAAAGATCGGTTTTACATTTAACAAAGTTGTCAGAACACCAAAAACTTTTCCATTTTAGGAAGAGAATGTTGTGACACAATAGGAAAGACAAGCACAACAAAGTGCTCTCCCCCACGCCTCTAAAACAACCGACAGCCCTTTTCTATTCATCTCTCTCTCTCTCTGACACTACTCAATGAATACATAGTATATATAAATATCAATCAGTTATTTGTACAAAAATGTCCCCATACATACAATGCAATATTAATATATTATTACAAAGATTTTTTTTTTTTCTTTTTCAAACGGGACAATATCATAAATACAACACGCATTTACAATCAGATGACAACCGGTAACATCCGGAAAGAGCAGTTACACAGCTGAAATCATGATGACAACTTGAATGACAGCCTATACGAATACGAACGACGCGCTCACAAGCTCCCAACAAGAGAATTCAGCTCCCAAAAGGAGAATACGCACCACACACAACACAACATGTAGGATTGAAATTTTCATTTTTTTTTTTCATTTAAAAATAAGGAGTTTATTATTATGGTGGAACAAGCAAAGAGATCCATAGCACTAATGTATGCTACGGAATCAAAGCTTTCTACAACGAGTCAATAATGACAAAAAAGAAAAAGAAAAGTACAAGAAAAATAAAAATCAATAATTTCCACAACGGATGACGTCCTAGTGGGCCCCCCCTAATAAAAGAAAAAAAAAGAATCCTAAAAATTTGAATATTGCGTAGTTAGAATGAGAGGATCTGTTTCATCCGAACCCGGCTTTACGTCGTCCACGTCACCATTATTACCACACAAAACCTGCTCAACACTATCATTATTAATACTACGATCATCACAAGTCCTTTTAACTTGTTTATTATTATTGTTATTAGCACCTGCAGCCTCCCGCCCCAGAACCGGCAGCAGAGACTTGCAAGGCCTTGTCTGCTGCTGAGCCTGAGCCTGAGCCTGAGCTTGAGCCGTCAGCTCCCTGGCCCGGTCCGCCTGTGCCGTCCAGTCCGTCCTCCCTAACACCACCATCATCAGCAAAGCACACGACGCCTGGGCCGCCAGCAGGCCCAGCCACAGCCCAGCAAATCCCATCTCCATCACGAAGCCCATCAAGAACGCCACCGGGAAGCCCACCAGGTAGAATGAGCCCAGATTGATGTTTGCCCCAACGGCGGGCCTCGCGCTTCCCCTCAGCACACCACACCCGGCTGTCTGGGGACAGTTGCCCAGCTCGCACAGGCCAGCTATCGGGAGGGCCGCCGCCGTCAGCCCGAGAATCTCCTCATCCGCTGTGAACAGCCGACCCCACTGCCTCCGCATCAGTGTCGCGAAAGCCATGGCCGCCACGCCCAGCCCGGCCGCGCACCAAAGGGACACCACCATCGAGATGCGGGCCCTCCCGGGCCGACGGGCACCAAGCTCATTGCTGACCCTGGTCGACACGCCGAGGCTGAGCGACGAAGGGAAAACGTACACAAGCGACGTCGTCTGGATCAGAATCCCCATAGAGGCGATAGTGGCCCGCGGGCTCGGGAGAAGCCCGCACAGCATTATCATGAGCTCGTACCACCACCACTCGAGGCAGACGGAGACACAAGTCGGCACAGCCAGGGAAAGAAGCTTCGACCAGCCTCGGAGGCAGTCGCGGCCCGGGACGACCCACGAGTCCCTGTAAACCCCAGAGAAATAAACGTAGAGAGAGAGAAAAACGAGGAGGTTGAGATTGGTGAGAGCCATTGCTAGTGCCACACCGGAAATCCCCATGTTTAAATAAATGACCAGAAAGAAGTTCAAAGGGACGTGAAGGAAAAGGGACGCGCAGGAGCAGTAGGTCACGGGGAGGGTGATCCCCTGGGCGCGTAAGTATATCCGGAGGGGATGGAGAAGGGAGAGGAAGAACAAGTCGGGTATGGCGAAGAGGATGAACTGTTGGGCGGCGGAGGAGATTTGGTGGTCCTGGTTGCACCATAGGAGGATTTTCTTCATGTTGAGCCACATGAGGGAGATGGGGAGGGAGGTGGATAGGAGGAGGAGGATTGTGCGGTGGAGGGTGAGGCCGAGGAGGTTCATTTGTTTGGCGCCGTAGGCTTGGCCGCAGATTGGGTCCATGCCCATGGCTAGGCCCGAGATGACGGAGTAGCCGGTTATGTTGGCCACGCCCATGGAGAGAGATCCGCCGGCCAGCTCCAGCTCGCCTAAGTATCCGAGGAAAAGCATCGAGATCATGGCTCGAGAGTAGATGAGGAGCCCTGTTACCGTCGTTGGTCCCGATATCTTGGCTATCTCTTTCATTTCGTTCATGGCCTGAAATATCAATTTAGATAAAATGTGTCAAATCTTTCTGTGTGTGCGTGTATTTTAGTTCTTTATATATATACACATGTACCTCGGAAGTGGTTGGCCACCTATGGAGGTCAAGATCGTCTGCAAGAGCATCCATGGGGGTTTTGGTGGGGGTTAAGAAATGGGGCTTTTGGGGGGAGGAGATAAAGGAAGGAGATGAAGAGGGGTTTGGACTGCACATTGGTGGGTGGGTGGGTGGTGATATTTTATTTTTATTTTTTATTTTTTATTTTTTTGTTTATTTTTATTTATCTTCTAGAGCTTGAGGAGGTAATGGTGGCTACAAAATGTGAACTTCTAAGGATTTGGGAGTAAATGATGTGTGAAAAGGGAAAGAGTTGAAAAAGAGAATGTTGGGTGAGGTAAGTAGTGTTATGGTTTTTTGGCAATTGCAACCCTTGATGGGAGCATGGGATACATTGAATGCCTCTATTTATACATAACAAGGATAGTGTACTATGGCTCCCCGCGTGTCAACTATTTAGCTGTCAACAAAGTATTGGGTGTGAAAAGCGGTAAACAACTTTGGGGGCCTTGGACATAAATCTCTCTAAATTCTTGATTTTCAACCAGCCATATGAGCTTCAAAAAAATTTCAAAAGAATGTTAGAAAAAATCTTACGGTCTCGACAAAGCATTCTAGGTACTTTTTTTCCTTTTAAATAATTTCAATTTTTTTTTTTTTGATCTAGAACTGCGCCCAGTCGGGAATACCGGACGCGGCTGGGCCGTCCGGTCTGTGATTGCGGACGGCCCAAAAGGTGAACGGTCACCTTTACCGGTCGCCCACCGTAGGCGTCCGGTCGCCCCATCTCCTCAATTTTCGGGGCCGGACGGACCGAAAACGCCCGGCCCCGGCCCGCCGACCGGACAATATATTTTTTTATTAACTATAATAATAATTATAATTTATAATTATTATAATTTATAACTATTATAATTTAAAACAAAAAAATATTATATTAATAAATACAAAATTATATTAGATAATTTATTTGATTAATAAATTATTAATTATCATAATAATAATAAATTACTAAATACTATAATAGTTATTACAATAATTATAAAATTTGAAATTAATTACTAATTATTATAATTAATTTCAAATTTTATTATAATTAATTTAATTAATTCTTATCATTAATTTAAAATTTGACTTTAAAAATTTAATTGAAATAAATTATAAAAATAATATTAATAATTAGTTGTATTAAAAAATTTATATAACTATTTTGAAAGCAATATATTAATATATATATATATATTTATTAAAAGATATATATATATATATATATATATA